CTTGTTTTAAATTTTAAAATCTTAGATATAAAAAGAAAAATTTTTTCGAATTCTTAACTCAACATAATTTGCTAATTTTCGTGATTTTTCCATATTCTGTCATGATTTGAAATTTAAATGCTTATAAAATAAACTGTGACTAAGGATTTTTAATATTTTTCAAATGTCAATATAACAATATAGTAGGAGCCTTGCATTAAATGTTCAAGTATTTTTACTCAACAAATACATTTTTAATGATATTCATAAAAAAAAAACTAATAAAATTGGAAACTGAAAATGTCCCTAAACAGTTCAAAATAAATCAAAATATTTTGAAAATTGTATGTAGTAAGAAAATGCAAATATAAACAACCAGTGAAAATTTCATTAATTTACTTTCATTTGTTTTCATGTTACACCAAAAACTAAATTCGATTTTGTTAAAAATCGATATTGCGTAAAAATTCCCGTTTTTCCTTAATTTTTCTTTTGTTATTCTTGGCGCTTTTGAAAATTAATGTGAATTTTAAATTTTGACCTCCCCAATGCAACTAACAATATTCACTTTCCAATCGAACAAGATACTGAAGTTGAACATCGAAGTATTATTTCGACTACTTATCGTGTACACAGAAGCAAAAAAAAAAAAAAAAAAACACTCATTATTGTAATATCAATACATTAATCTTTCCACTCAGAATCTAAAATGTACTCAATAACAATAAGTTAGGATGACTTACGTCAGTACAACTTTAATTATTAAAAACATAAAGCATAGAGATGATATTCCTATATTAGGTATATAATTAGGACATTAGGTACATCTTTAAAATTCTTCGGCTATTTAAATACAAATGTTGTATATAATATTATTATTAGGTTTTATAATTGATATATCATAAAATCAATTAGTTGAGACCACAATTTATAGAACACTAATGATTGGACAGTATAACTTTCAATTAGGTAGCTGGTAGCCATAGCTAGTAGCTGGTAGGTGGTAGGTATAGCTGGTACTTAAGGTAATTACATTAAATTAATGTTAAACAGTTTAAATATACCTAATATATAAGTATTATACACCTGCAGGCACCAAAATATTAAAATAACAAAATCTAATTAGTAACATAAAACATTTTACTAATAACGAATGATAAATAAGTAAATACAATTACTTGTTAAAAAAAAACTACATACGTACAAAGTACATAACTACATAAGTAATAAAATATTAAATTATTTAAACTGATGAATTGCTAGAACGCCAAGGCCACACCACTACACCAGCATTTGTTATCTCCACCTTACAAGTGCATAAAATAATACTATTATAATTTATAGCACATAGCTAATGTACAATCAGCAGTAAGTTCACGTTTAGCTTCATTAGTTAATTATTGGTCTATATATTATATTTATATAGATCGTTTTATCATATACTCAATGGTACACGTCAACGTGTATATACTATGGTTTATATTTGTACTTTGTACGTCAGTTTTTTTTTTCGATATTTCAATGTTTAGCGACTTACACTTATAGTACCTATTTCAATATTTTACTTGCTCATAACTTTCTTAAAATAATTTTATTGATGTATCGTAAAAAACCGACGTAAATACACGGTATAGGATGTTATACCTTTATCTTTTAAGTTTGACAATGAATAAATTCACCATAATATTAAAATTAACAAAGCTGTAAAGCGCTAAACGTGAACTACTGAGCGTAAATGTTCAATGTTACGCACTAGTAAGACGTGGAGACAATAAAACATATGATGGGTGTGGCATCCTCCTAATCACAGTTGACAGTATAAATAATATAATAATATTATAAACTGTGTCCTATACCTAATGGCTAATACCTTGTAATGGGTAAATCTAGTGATCTACTTTACAGTGTGTCCCAGAAGTCCCGTATCACCCTTAGTAGGTCCGTAGAAAATCAATTTAAATGCAGTTTTTTTACAGAAATAAATACGATCAACAAAATGGCTATCTTGGAAATTTAAAAACTTATTTGCCTAAAAAAATGTTTTGATGAAGAAAAATCGAATATTATGCTATTCCATACTTATTAGTTATATTACTGTAAAAAAAACTGCATTTAAATATATTGATTTTTCACGGAGATACTAACGGTGATACGGGACTTCTAGGACACACTGTACTATACTATACTTACTATTATTTATCTACCATACGTAAAACGTAACTTATTTTATTTAGAAGTAGCTACTCAATATTGATGTATTGGACATTTGGAAATAGGTAATACAAATTTGACGAAAATAACTTATAATACGATAGGTTATAAGTTATAACTTATAAATTATAGATATGAGCTAATAATGATATAAGTGGTAGGTAAGTACCTTGTACCTACATATTATATGTTATTGTTATTGATAGGTAGATGTATACATATAAAAATAATTAAAATATTCAACACAATATTGAATACTATGTAGCATAATATAATATATTAATATGATATTATAACTTTTATTATTCAAATGTTTGACGATCGATATTGTATAATATTAATTATTAACTATTAAGTATATCCATCCAAGTATGAAGTAAGTATCTCTAATAAGTGTAAAATGTTATTGCCTTAGTGATGCTATGTGTGGTAATATACCTATATGCGTACCGTAGGTACCGTCGTCGTCTGTCACAAGTCTTTATAGTAGGTTTTTCCGATTTCCAAAGTCAGGAAATCAATTTGACAATACATGTTAAATAAAGATATTATCTACCTAATTTTGTTTAACATATCTTTGTAAGTAAATGGTAATTATAACGATACACACAAAAAAATCAAGTTTTAATAAAACCCTTCTGATTTAAAACTCGGTTAACCGGCACCCTTTCAAAAATTTCAGTGGCAGCCTAGGGCTGTATGCCATCATAGCACCAAATATCAAAAAGTAGTAGTTTTATGATAGTGCCAGTAAGCGAATATTCCCCTGATAATAATCAACTGACCGACGAAATGCAAGACTCACTTCTATGCTAACAGTATTATTATAATGTTAATTTATATTAAAATTATTTAGAAATTATTGTGAAATTATTGTGAAAAACTCATTTTTAGATAATTTGAATTTTATTATTTATTTAAGTATGTTTGTTGTTTATTATTATTTATTATTAATTATTATTAATGATAAAGACTTACTAAAAATTAATTTTTTACCTCAGTCGATCCCCAAAGAAAAATATATATCATTAGTTGATATTATTTTTTTTATGATACCACGGACTTAGATATATCCATTAACAAAATGTTTGGCTGCTAACCCAGTGGCAATCATAATATTTATTTAATATTTATTTTATAGGAAACCATAATAATAATGTAATGTACTAAATATAATCCTGTTAACATTATTTTAGATATGCACCTATACGTCCTACCTATTTACAATTTAAAAAAATTAAAATATATATAGGTACGTAAGTATGTTTAATATAAACTAATAGAAAATTAATTTAGCCAGTGACTTAATATAAAATCAAAATTTATATTTTAGAAATAATAAAATATTATATTTCGAATATAAAAACATCAGTATAATAATATATATAAATTGTTTTTCTCTGGTAGATATCACTATAGCAGATCGAGATGCCGATATGCTGATTGTCGATATAACATCATAAACTAAGGTCTAAGTCCTAAGATGTACAGGACTGGACACCGATAGGTGGGCGGGTATGTGGGGGCACAGTCAGTGATTGTTACGAGTTAAAATACTATTTGATCGGAGTTTACGTGATCTATGAGGATATATTGTCAACCGTATAAAAAAAACAAACTAGCATAAATGCTATAAATACAAAATATATTTTCAACCATATAAAAAAGTCAAATAAATGTAATGTAATCATATTTTTTTTCTTTGTTCATGTTTACGACGTAGTTCGCATAATATGAAATATTAAATTTAAATTGTTTTACGCTGTACACGCATGCTTTATTATAGTTTATTAAATATTGTACATTTGTACTTAATAAACTGTTTTGTATAAAAATTACAAACATAGTAAACAAGTAGCAGCTGTTCTGATTTGCTCTGTAAAAGTCGGAAGCGCATTAAAAATGAATAGATTTTAGCCGAAAATAGTGCCATTTCCAAACTGAGGTCAAAATTTGTGTCGAAGGTTAGCAACTGCAAACGTACTATAGTGAAGTTTTTGTGTGAACTCCATTTCACCTATGACGATATAATAAATAATTATGAATTATTCGGGCCGCTGGAATATGGGAGCTAAACAAAGCAGGTTGGTTCAGTGGCGTACCTGTGAATAGTTACATACTATATTACAATAGTAACGTATATAGTTAAACATACTTTAAATTTAAAAGTTCCAAGTACCTACCCACTGTTCTCGAATAATACATTATTAAATTAAGGGGCTCCAGCGTATCATGTTTTAAGGAGTAATATATAGGCAATTCCCATGACTTCAACGTATGGGATATTATGTGTGAGTAGTCAATGTAGTAAATTAACATTAGTGTGTGTTTCAGAGAAATACTATAATGCCGCGCCGTGTAACCGACGTCGGATGCAACACTCTCGCACTCGCACGCTAATGTCAATATTTGGTGAAAAAGGAAATATATTCTTGTTTGTATAACTATAAAAAATTCTAAAATTGGTAGTAAATTAAACATACTTCCTGAAGTTCGATTGTAATTTCGAAAAAATTGTTGAATTTATTAGCACACAATAGAATAATATTAGCTAGACTAGGTACGCTTTTTAGGAATCACTTTTTTGTAAGATTTTTTTTCTATGAAGGTAGAAATAATGTTTTCCAGTCGACACAGAGTAGGTAATCAATAAAATTACGTCTTTTCAAAACAACTACAAGCACGTGGTTTTCGATAACGAAAATGACGGGTAATAACTGATAAGAGAAAACAGAATAGTGAAAACACGACTCGCCACTTTTGTGGAGCGAATTTTTTTTAACCGTGGTTTTTTTATACATTTGATCAAAATGGCTTGGACTTACGATGCGATAATTGGGTTCAGCAATGGGATGTTAAAAGGTAATATTGAAAGTTATTTGTTATGCTAAGAAATTTGTGTAATGCCGATTTTGATCGTGACCAACAAAATTTTTGACCAGCTCATATAACTGAACAAAAAATTACTCTCGTCGATCGTAAATTAATTTCCATTTCCACTTTTATCTCAATACAATTTCCATCTTATTAAGCTAGGTATAAAAATAATATACAATATTGTCAATAGTGTCGTTTTAGATTTTTATGTGTCGAACAACTCAAATTACAATACTAAACCTGACTGCCGTAACTGAAAAATCTATAAATATTAAATACTAATAGATTTTTTAGAAATTACTTACAATATGTTCCCATACTTTTGTCGTTGTACATGCCTGATGCCTTCATACAGAATTTGTAAATGTATACATAATATAGGCAGATATAATATTATTGTATTCATAATATGTCATATACTAATTATGTCTATATAATATTTATCATCTTCCTTTACACACCACTTAATGTTACATCACATATCATATATAAGCCCTGCTTCTATATATTCAAACTTAAAACCTATACATTTTCATTATTATTACGATAATAATTTCCTAGTGCTTCACAATATTTTTTTTTTATATTATTTCCTGAAAATTATAAAAAAGTTATGTTTTATCACCAAACAGCAGACCATTGGTTGTTTTAGTTATAAATATTTAATGTTGACAGTATGCAAAATTAATTTCTATTCAATTTACAAGTTGTATGTACCTAATTAATCATCTTTGATTCATTTTAAATTTACTTCTCATATTTAGTCATTAAGTATGCATCTAGTACTTGACACAACAATGATTGTTGATTAACATTGTAGGTACATGTTTATTAATATTAATATTCATTGTTACTTTAATTTATAGTAAGTATTAGCTAAATGAATCAAATATTTTTTAGATATTGTGTTTTTATCAATTATATACCTTTGTTTATTGGTATCTTTAAATAAGTACCTAAATAATTAATATTTATTATTGAGGATTCTCCATAAATTTAAGATTAGTGTTATTATTTTAAGTTAACTTAATGGAAATAATATTGACATAGAATTATTTTACTGCATACATACAATAATTATTTATATTAGTAAGAATCGTCTACTAAGTAAATTGGTAAATTTAAGTATCTAATACATTTATAACATTTAAAGTAATAAATTATAATTCTTATTGGTTATGGACAATTGCTTGGACAATTTGGACAATTTGTTGCAAAAAAAATCAATAAATAAAAATGAAATTTTGTTGTTATTGAGATAAGTTCTACAACTGGAAATTTTATTAATATTCTATTGCTATTCGGATGACTAATCAAGTTGATAAGTTACTTAGTTCAAAAAGTAAAGTGTTAGATTTATTTTCTAACAATAATCTTTAAAATTGTTTTTCTCTACAGGTGTCGAACTTAAAAAAAATAAGTTTAAATACTTAAATTTATTAGATGCATCTTTAGCGCAAAATAACCTTAGCATATATGATGAAAACAAAGTAATAATAACCACCAGCAAAAATATGTTATTATATGATTTACAAAAAAAGAAAATGTGTAAGAAATATATCATTCGGGAATCAGGAAATATTATTGGTGTATTTAAAAAAGATAAGTAAGTAATTTATCATAAATATTTTGTATTTTACTATTAATAATTTATGTTTTATAATAAGTGTTTTAATTGCTGGAGTGGACAATGGAATGGTGGTGATTAAACCTATCAAACAAACTAAAATTGCTTCGGAAAAAATAAGCACTGGATCACATTTATCATGTATTAGAGAAGTTCTTACATTAGATAAATTTGCAACAGGTGGAAATGAAAATCCGTTAAAAATATGGGACTTGGAAACAAAAAAGGTTGAATTTACTGCTAAAAGTGTAAGTCTTAATTTTATATTTCTGTTTCTTTTAAATATTGTAAATGTATTTATTTTTTTTTAGTTATAGTATTAATTTTGATAGTAACATGTACCTGCTTAATATTAGACCAATAGTTTTAAAGGTTTCTATTTATTTTGTTTTATTCTTTTCAGCCTAAACCAGATATGCTTCAACTCAAATTGCCTTGTTATGTGTCTGATATTCAATTTTTTAATAACAATAAAGCAGTAGTTGCACACAGACATGGAGTGGTAAATATTAATTCATAATTTTTTTAAGTATAAACATTTTTAGAAATTAAAGACTAAAAATAAATTAAATCTTGTAACTTAATTGAAGAAATCCATTAAAAAAAAATATTTTTTGTATTTTCTATCAATAAAATTATATAACGTCTTAACACCTCATACATATAAATACAAATTAATAAATGTGATGGTTAAATTATACAATTTGGTAAATATTAAAATTAAAATTACAATTACAAGAAATTATTTTCATATTAAGCTGTTATATTTTGAAGATAATAATGACTGAAACCTTGAGAAAATCCTTGAAAAACCCATAATGTTGAAGTTATGAATCAATTAATGAAAATAATATTTAAACATTGTTAGTGATTAATAAATAAATTTACTACGTTGTTTCCACTGTTAAGTGTCTAAACAAATATATAAAGAATTAATCAAAATTATGTTTTGTTAGTGTAAAACTAATTTTGGACAGGAAATATAACTAGACATTTAAGTCTTTAAACTTTTAAACTTTTATATTGCAATGGTCTTTTTTCCAAAGTATAAAATAAAAAACTGCTACAAATAAATGTATCTTAACAAATTATACAAATAATAATACGCCAATAGATCAAAGTATAATAATAATTAATTATATTATATTAATAATAAAAAAAAACTAATTTTCGACAGGAAATATAACTAGAAATTTAAGTCTTACCTCTGGTGGGGATCAAAGGAATTAATACTTTTTATTTACTGACAATACTTTTATATTGCAATTTTCTGTGTATTTGTCTATATTAATCTTTACACAATTTCCAAGTACGAAATGATCTCCAATTGTAACTTATCCGATTAGTACAATTTCGATGTAGTCCATGTTAAACTTCACCAAATTTAACACTCGAACAATTTTGTATTAAGTATAAAATACATCTTAATATTTGATATTTAATATGGATAAATAGAGTTTATAGGATACTACACAGACATTTGTTGTCTCCGTATTACAAGTGCCCATCATAGCACATTTTACACTCATCAGATCACGTTTAGCTCTGTTAGTTTAAAAATTAGAGTGAATTGTTACATTTTTATCTAGTCTTGGAGGCGTTATATTTTAATTTTAAAGCGTTTTATGAGTATTTTAAAATTGTTTGTAAATCTTAAAATACTCATAACTTGATGCTCTAGATAATAATTTTACCTTAACATTTTGTAAGAATCAATTCATTCTATTTTTAAACTAACGGAGAATAACAATTGATATGTAAGTTATGTCGGTTTTCCCAAAGTTTCCAATTTTCCGGCAACTTTTCCTATTTTTCTTTCTGTAAAAACCCCATTTGGAATATTGCGAACGTCTAAAAAAAAAATTACTCAAATCGGTCTAACTGTTCTCGCTCGATACTATCGGTCAGCTTTTGACATTTAGTAATATACATTATCAATTACTAATTTGTAATGACATAGCAATACATTTTTAAATTTGTTTCTAAATTCTAGGTTGATTTACATGATCCATTGTCTAGTCAAAGAAGACCAGTAGCATCTTGTAAAGCAGAAAACACAGGTTTTGTTAGCTTAAGAACTATGCCAGATTACAGTGATTAGTAAGTTTATTATTAAGTATAATTTATTAGTGTGACACCTAGTACCAATTAACATAGAACAATTTTAGCTTAAAAGGAAGTTTACGGTTCTTTATTTAAAATGATGTTTATTTGTAATAATATTTGTTTCATTTAATTAAAATAAGTATAATATAATGACTAGGGCTGAGATTTGTATGTAAATTCATATTTTTACTAAAACATGATAAATGAATTATTGCAAATGATAAATTCTTTTACTTATTTGCAAGAAACTAAGACATATTTTTACATAATTTGTCAAAAATCTGCTTTTTAGGGTTCCGTACGTTTCCCTACGGAAGCCTATTACTTTCGCTCGGCTATCCGTCCGTTCGTCTGTCGCCAGGCTGTATCTCATGAACAATGAAAATTAGAAAGTTGAAATTTTCACAGATTATATATTTCCGTGGATGCTATAACAACAAATACTAAAAAAAGGGATAGGAGCAACCCCGGGGGTTGCTAAAACGGGAATTTTGAGATTTCAGATGGAAATTTTTGTTTATAAATAGTTACCACGGGTGACGTCGTATTGTTAATAAATGGTTGCCATGAGTGACGTCGTATACAGAGATTCGTTTTATAAATTTCAATACAGAATTATAGTGAATCGTTTTAAGTTACAAAATTATAACAACATAATCATAACTGTTATTTTCCTCGCCGGAATAAGTACCTACTGTTGAGGAGAAACTGCTGAAATTCAGATAACAAATATATTTGACATCACCGAGACTGCTATTCGTAGTAGGTACAACTGTTACACTTGATATCCGACTGTTTACAGTCAAGCGAAAGTTGATTTTAACGTAATAGCGTTAATTCTAATAAAATAAGTACCTATACATTGAAAAGGTAATTTTGTAAATTAATTTATCTTATAAATTTAGCTTCTTTTTGCATTTTTAAAGGTACCTACTGTAGGATTGACTAACAAAGCTTTGATTAATAAAATTAACCTGGCCTGAATTTTTTTCCCACCCCACAAATGACAACAGACATTAGATAATGGCACGGAACCCTTCGTGCGTGAGTCCGACTTGCACTTGGGCGGCTTATTTTCACATATTTTGTATATTTTGACAATTTCAGTGGTTTAGTAGTATTATACATTTAAACTTCGATAATAGTTCTTGTAAAAACTGTAAGTCTTTAATGCACCAAATGAAATAACAGCTATGAAATATGCACCGTTAACATTTTGTGATGTAGAACTCTCTTTCAGTAGGTATAAGTTAGTGTTAAGACCAATTCACCATTCTTTTAATTTTGAAAATTTAAAACAATATATGGTTTTGTCATTGTTTTGCTTTAAATTGATTAAACATAATTGTATTTTAATTTAACACCATATTTTTGATAATATTATATTTTTTTAAATTATATTGATTAGAAAAAAAAAACAATGAATTGTATTCTTCAAACATGATTTAGAATTGTATTTTAATTTAATACTTTGACATTTTTTTAAATTTTTCTTATAACATATTTTTTATTTTTACTACATATTTTGATTACATATTTTTGGTATTTTATTACACATAGAACCCAGCCCTAATAATGACATATTTAATGGTTGTGTGGTAGATTTAAATGTTGACTGAGTAGTGCCAAGTTCTATTGTCTTCAATTAAATTTAACTAAAATAATACATTTATAGTAGATTGAGTTAGAATAACCTAATTTTTAAAATTATACAACAATATAATATTTTTAAAAAGAGTTAAACTGAATATGTAATTTCATTAATTAAAATTTAATTTTTAAATTGTTTATTATTCCCTACGAGTGGCTGAATGTTATTTTATTATTATTTACCGTGGAATAAACACATGTTTTTAAATATGTATACATACGTCGTTAAGAGCAGTTTCTTTATTTTTTCTCTAACAAGACTTGTTTTTACTTTTATCATACACAGTGGGTGAAAACTGCAAAAAGACATACATAGTCAAATATATAATAAGATATAAGAACTACCATTTTAGATTTAAATTATATTTTGTAATATAAATATAAAATATTAATTTAAATTTTTAAATATAAAAAAAACTAATGTTTAATTGTGATGTTCAATCATTTTTTTCTAATTATTTATTGATATTTATAATTGATTGAAAAGTATTTAAAAATATTTTTGGACTTTAACTTGTTTAACTTTTATTACAATTGACAATAATAAAATATACATTCCTTATATGTAAATTTATTTCTTCATGTTTATTATTTACATGCCATTTATTGTGATAATATTTTTCACATTACATTTAAACCACAAAAAAACCATAAATTAAAATATGTTTATAACTACATTATTTTTTGAATTGCAGTGAAGTAATCGTAGGAAGTTCAAAAGGCTGCATTTACCATTACGACTTCCGTGGTAAATCTACATTACCAGTGAAAACATTTAGAGGAAGCACTGGTTCTGTAAAATCAGTATCCTGTATTAATTATTTAAACCAAATGCATGTAATGAGCATAAGTTTAGACAGTCACATTAGACTACATGATTTGAACAGCGGTAAACTCACAATGCAGGTATTGTTATTTATATTTATAATAACTATATGATAATTATTTTAAATAATGCTTGAGGTTTTAACGCAAATCCAGCCTTTGGTAAAAATAAATATTTTAGAGTGACTCTAAAAAAAGTTAATCGTAGATACTAGATATATGATTTTATCACTAAATGTTTATATTAGCAATATTTCTATGTACCATTTATGAGCGGACATATGAACATTTCTATTGTTATTAGTTTTTTTTAAAACTTATGTCGATAAAACAATTTTTGTTTGGTCAAAAAATTTGAAAATTTAATAGATAGTTCCTCGTAAGATTTTATTGGTGAAAATAAGATAAAAAGTTGAGCGTAAACCCACAATAATTTTTTATGGGCTTCTGAAATTTCAATTTTAACACGTCCCAAGTATTTGTAAATAATTATTTTGTTAAAAAATTATAAGATAACCAATTTTTGTAGCTAAGGATTAAAAGTTTAAAACGAGGATTTTCATAAATTAATTATACTGTACTCAAAAAAATCTAAAAAATATTTTAACACGGTTATCTTTATAGACGTTTTAAGTTCAAATTTTGGATGATTTTAGTTATTTTGTTGTAATTTAAAAATATTATTTGTGGGTATTTGAATGTTGTAACGTAAATTATAATAAATTTGTATACACACAATGGCTTTTTCAAATGCAATTTTATTGGCAATAATTAATTTAACTGTCTCTGATACTAATGTCTAATAGCAAAATAAATTACTTTAATCACAATAATATTATAAAATTTACCTAATTATATTATAAGCTAACAGACTGTCTTCGCTCAGAATCGTTTTTCATATACAATGATAATACAATCATATTGAACACATCCATTACAATGACTAGACACCCAATATACTGCAGAATATTTTGCACGCAAAAGCAACGCTTTGTTTTGTAATGTTATTATTACATTTTAACAGTTATGTTTTATATTTAATATTACTTTGTGACACACTCCCACGAGAGAACGGTTCATTTTTGTCTATAATATATTGTATGGTTTTTCCTAATCCACATTACCAAACAGATTTGGCGTGAGGATGGGTGGCATCAACTGGTTTTGGTCAGTGTGCGGCCAGTTTTCTCGTGGGATGAAGTATCATTATATTGTTATTTATGTATATTTTCATAAATTATGTGTTAAAACTTCGAAACTATTCAATATTTAATACATTTTATTTGTTACAGGATTATATTGTTGGGAAGCCGTTACAATTATTGATCAAGCCAGATAAATTATATAATTAAATTGTGAATAAATTATTTTCTATTTTATACAATTGAGTAATTTTAAGATTTTTTTATAATAACATACTACTGAGGTTTAAAATTATCTCTAGTACATTAGTGTTAAGTTAAATGAAAACGACTAGATTGAACCATTAACTTAGAAAACTATAACAATTTAAACCAACTGTTTGTAATAAGTCCTACAAAACAAATCTAAATAAATCAATCATTGAAACTAAACTGGTTTGAATTTGATAAATTAGAACATGATGGTAACTCGTTAAATAATGACTTCCAAAATACTAAACATGTTAACTCATGACCTATAACATAATTTGTAAACGTCTACAAAAAACTAGCAATATTTTATAATAAGATTTGTACACTCCTACAAAAAAATAAGTTACATGAAATATTATAACATAATAAGTTATTTCTGTTTAAAAGTTTGAAGTCACACCTAAGGAGATTTTTTTTTTAATTCTCATATAATTTGTTCGAAATAAAGATCATATAAGTAAAAAAAAATAAAATGTTTTTTGTTTGTTTTTGTAAACCTTAACATCAAATCTAGATATGAAAATATATTCTTTTCAGTTATTCTAAAATCTAAACCAACTATTTGTTGTTACTCCACTAATATAAAGTGTAATGTTTTTTTTTATTTTAAGAGGGCGCTACATCCGTATGTGTTCTCTTTATCTTATGAACGGATAACATAGCAAGTTATACGCTTCGCATCACGTTTGGTTTAGTTCTTGCTTGAACTTGCTTCAAAATTAAAAACCTATGATGTTCACTATATCTTACCTTTAAATTATATAAGAGGTAAATTCACTTTTTTTTTAAACTAACAGCGAAACGCGATCTGCTGAGCTTACAGTTTTGGTATGTTATGCGTTTGTAAGACTGAGAGAACGCTTGGGATGTAGCGTCCTCGTAAGACTTTCAGTGTAAATGAAACTATTGTAGGGAGGAAAGACGCCTGGTGCCAATGTATTTTTGTCCACAAAAATACTATCTACGGTGATAATGATCCTATTCTGTAGAATCGACCAAATTTGATAATTTTTTGTTGAACTAATAGAGGGTAATATTCTACAGGACACATTAAACTTCGTTTTTAAATATTTCAATTTCAGATTTTATAATGTCTTCAAAATTAATACAATTTTAAGCTTTTTTATATAAATTATATTATACAAGTATTTGAAAAAAAAAATGGGAGTTCAATGGGGCCTGTAGGAAGTTATCTTTCAGATAAAAAAATAGTTATCAAAATTTGATAATTTTACAAGACCTGAAAATTATTCCAAGGCAGTCATTTTTGTTGATTTAATACAACTATAAATCCTTTAAAAATGTATTGGGGAGTAGATTAGTAGAAAAGTATTATAATTAAGGTGCCAACTGAAATATGAAAGATTATTTTCAAATTTTATTCAAATAGACAATTTGATAAACTGGCACCTGGCCCCTTGACTTATAAAATGACCACACATTTTATTGATTGTATTGGAAAGAATTAATAAAAGTTTTGATATTATAGTATAGTCATATATATAACAAACATATTATAATATAATTATACACAAGTTACCACATTATAGATGCGCCATCTCCCACCGCCTTAGTTTTTTTTTTTAATTCATCATATATAAACTATAACATTATTAAATAATATAATATGTACTACATAATTTTGTCTTCTAAGTAAGGTAACAAAAAAGTCCACCCTGGCTTAAATAAAGAGTTGACTGTTGTTGGGTTCCAATTTCATTTGAAATTGTTATGTTTAGTTTGATGATTGGTTTAAACTATAAATAATTTATTATAATGTACTTTGAATAGTATAAATGAAGAATAGTGGGAATGGTTATTTTATTAAAAAATACAGTTAGAATCGAATCCCTTTATGACTTATGGGGCCTGGACCGTAACATATTTTAAGGGGTAATAATTAGGCAATTCATATGACAAGTACATTTGAGTTGTGTGAGTAGTAAATGAACATAGGTGTGTGTAATTTATTATTTATCGTTTTTATCTCTCACAAGCGCACGCATAAGACAATGCGTCACGAAAAGTCAAATATATTTTTGTTTGCATATAATATGTAACTATAAAAATTGAATTAATAGCCTATTATTAATATATACCTACTTTGAAGCTAATTGGCTAAGATATGCAATTATTAATTTGAGCAAAACAAAATTAATAATCTGAATAACATTTTTTTTATTATTATTTACTAATCTGAATTATTTATTATGGTTTGTGACTTGTGTATCTATTAGTAACAATGTTAAGGTTTCATTAATTATGTAGGTAGTAGAACTCAAAAAAATAAAAACAAATTCAATTAAAATTAGGTACCTATATCTATTTAAAACTTGTCTTTTTCATTTAAAATGTTATTCTATTTTTTGTAGACTATGATTTATAATTCATAGAAAAACCAAATATTTGTCAGGTAAATAATTCTAATATCTATTCCAAGAGATTACGAAAACCTATAAACAAAAACTGAAACTGAATTTTGTGCCTAAAGCAAATGGGTAGTCAAATATAGTAATAATGTAAATATTATTAACATTATTATTATTATAAACAATAACAATATTATCAAATACATACTTAAAATGTTGAAACGATCGAATCCAACAACTGTAATTTGTGTGTTGATTTTTCTAATTCAGTGATGGTAGTCGAGATCACTGGTGTTTACTGTGTGTCCTCTTTTAAAGACCTTCCGGCCATCAACAAGGTAGCGTGAGGGCTTAAATAATCCTTTAAAAGGCGGAAGAGATGTTTAGGATCTTTTACAGGATAGCCGTGGAGATTCTAATGCTGTAAGAAGAAGCGGAGAGGGCGTGAGAGGTGACCAACACACAACAGTTTATAGTTCATTATTTTCGTAAGTTCACCAAAATCACTTTTTTGTTATTTTTCTCCTTTTATTAGAAAATTCTGGGTTGAAGTACCATATTTATTTTAAGGAGTGGGTAAAATTGATAATGAGTTGGTTATAACTTATAACATAGTATACATATATCCCTGCGTATAATTACAGTAGCACAACTACCCGAGGGTGGTTGATTACTGAAGCCTATGGACTGCAGGGGCCCCAGGCCCCAGCCCAACTAATAATTTACTATTTTCGTATTTGATAACAAATATCAAATTCACATTATTTTAATGTATTTATGTATGAATCAAATTTCACTGTCAGTATAGATATTAGATATTTGATGTATTATTGAAATATAATTCTATAAATACCTAGTGTTGCACGATAAATGTGTCAAACATCTAGAGGTGTTTCTACACCTCAAATAGAACAATAAAAGTCCTTATGACCATAATTGAATCATCAATAATAATTGTGATAATCTTTATGTTTGTGTTTTTTTGGTTAAAGGCAATGTTCATATCTGGTAAACCGTAGGTACTACAATTAATTTGAATACATTGATGAAATGCTCATAAAATTGGGTTTAGGAAAACATATCTTACAAGGTTCCCACCTGATTTTTTGGGTAAAAAGAATAATACAAATGTTTTAAAACTTTAAAATGTCGAAATTTTAAAAAAATTCAGTTTTATCTAACAACAATTATTTTTTAAGGCAGGGGTCATAAGGACTTTTTTTGTTCCATTTGAGGTGTAGAAACACCTCTAGAAGCTTGACACATTTATCGTGCAACATCCTGTATAAAATAATGATGACATTTCTCCATATTTTAGTAGACAAATTAAAGGAGGATTATTAAACACAACAATTAAGGACCTCCCTATGTCTATAATTAAAAATGGTTTCTGTAATCCATACTGCGATTTTCATAAATTTGCCGATTACAAAATTAGAAAAAAAATATCTTTTTCAAGTGAAAATATTATTTAATACTACCAAAGATATGAATTAGTTTAGTTTATAAGTATATTACTTAATTATTTTAATGATGTGTATACATATTTAAAATATAGTTCATGTAAATAAATTACTATTGTAATATTAATAATCTTATAAGTTATAAGTATTAATATTTTTATTTGTTTTTATGAATATTGAATATATTATTATTGAAGTTATGTCGCATTAAGATTTAACACATTATTTACATAATTGTATACCTACTTAATAGTATACAATTTGATAGATACTCATTTTTTATATTACAGCTGTCAGCTAGTATAAACAAAAAAATAGTACCTAAAATTAAAACACCAAATTTTTCTTTTTATCATTCATTTTTAGTACGCCCCCTAAATGCATAATACTTTATAAGCATATATTATATGCTTTAAAATGATATCCTTAAACACGCGTATTAAGATTATAAGTACCTATACAATAGTTTTCGGAGCCCATACAGTATTAAATATAACAAGAAATGACAAATAATATATACGATTTTTTACAATACATATTATATATGTATTATTCAGTTATATTTTATTTCAAGAACAATTTGTACAGTACATAATATAATAATATACAATAAAAATACGAATACCCGTTCAATACAACCACTCGGGCGTTTCTATTTTACAATACCAAAAAATTAACAAAAAAATTGTCGTGTGCCACCCCGTTAAAAAAGATTTTAATTTGGTTACATAATATAATAAATCTAATCACCGCAGCAGCACACATACAACTAGGACCCAGCTAGGTTTCTGTTTTCCAAACGCATTACACGTCGACGTGATTTCTATTAGACTATAAAATTCAGTGTATGGTTTTCAAAATACCCACTAAATATTCCAAATAACAAGTGACTTTTTTAAATTGTTAATTCTATTTCATACGAATTAAGTTAATTACCTGCAAGGCCATGTAACTGGGTTACATCGAGACAAATGCCAGATATATATATATATATATAAGATATAAGATATTTAAATTGAAAACAGATATTTGACGTCGCCAGTCAACTTGTAAAAAATTGCGCTGGAAACTAAAAACCTAATTCGGGTTTTGTATTTGTATTGAAACGAAAAATATATAAAATAAT